CTACAAAAGAGCAGCCAGACAACCAGCAAGAGGCCTTGGATGTAGCACAAGGTGATAGTTACTTAGTCAGCCATTCTTTTTTTTTTTTTTTTTTTCCCTTACAGGTTTTTTTTTAAAGCAAACTAAGAACTTATCACTTTCACAGTGAAACGAGGAATTAAATTACAAATGGATCCTCTTTCCAAGTCCTGAATTCTTTCCACAACTGTACCAAGTCAATTTAAGGTTTTCTAAAAGACACAATAATTGTTTGGGGGGGGGTTGTAATCATAATGTGTTTCTTTAAAAACACATCCTTGGTTTGAAAGGTCAGATTCCATTTTACAGTCAAATAGTCCCGGTACACTTTAAAGGAAACATTTGGCATTGCATTGTTTATGCTTCCTCTAGTTTTATACTTTTGTCTACTCTTGTTTTCATTCCATAGGTGTTGTCAGGCAAGCAGTGACACATGATGTATGCCAGTGGCTTTTAATTTTAATGAGATATTCTAATACTATATACAATATACACTGGTGAAAAATATTTTCAGACTACACAGTTGGGAGGAACATAGACATAAATCCAAGTAGCAGTTGAAGACAGAAGATACCTAAATTTTCTTGCCTATTTATTTTCGTTGCTGATCTTTTCCTGCTTAAACATTTGTCTGACTAGATATTAAAATCCAGACCTCATACTCTTTTGTTTACATCAAGTTTATCCTGTTTGACAAGTCATATTTTGGTCACTACCTGTGTATTTTGGGCTATTCTGAAACTTTAGTACCGAGTACAAAACATAAATGTAATCCCTAGCGTGATCAAAGATTTAATCTGACCAGATGGACAAATTTGAGAAAGATTTTGACTTTCTGCTCTGTTTTGCAACAAGAAAGGCTGGGTTTTTTCCCCTCCTTTCTTTGTTGGAAAAAGCAGAGATCAGGCTATCCCTAGAGAAATGAGCAGGTGTGGCCATTTACAAGCATGTCTGGTTGTATTATAAACCAGCATAAGAAAAGTTTGAAATGGCTTGAATAGATCTGCTAAACAGTTTTAATGTTTCATCCCAAATCCTGTTTACTCAAACAAGAGCCGATCGAAGTCACAGTAAAAACCCAGCCTGACCAAACCTTTAAATATCTTGTAATTTTATTTTTTAGTTTTAGTCTGTGTTCTGTAGCAAGTGAATAGGTACATTTTGATAATCCTTGCCTCTGGACAAGCACAGAATTCTTTTTCTTTCTGAATGGCTAATAACAGAGCCGTTCTTCCTGTCTAATGATGAAAGGGGTTGGCAGTCAAGTTCTTTTTCTTAGTTGTACTATGTAATCGGGGCATGCAAGGGACAATTTTGAGAGTTATAGCTATGTGAACTGCTATCCATGTTAAGTAGAGTTATATTTTCATTTTATGTTAACACAGATTAATCACTAACTTTAAAACCAATTTATTTTTGTCAGTTCTGTCATTAAAAGATCATTGAGCATGATAAAGAATTTTCCTTTAACATTAAACAAATGTAGTACAAAGTATTTGTGTAGAGAAAAAATAATAAAAGAGCAGATTTTTGGTGCAAACTCAATATTGTACCTGACCCACATACAACTCAATCAAAAGGCAATTAAAAATCCCTAGAAACATTCCTTGAAAATGAACAGAATAAACATTTTTTTAAAATAAATTTAATGAACTGTATTTGTGGGGATTTGATTGTTGGTTGCTTTCACAAGACATGAGCATTCCATGTGTTTTAAGGCTGGTCTTTTCTAAATTTCTGATATCGTTGAATGACATCATCGGCAGGGTAATGATCTCGGCAACTACATTGACAGTGTCTCACATTCTAATTCACCTTCACAAATCCATGGCATCATTTTTGGCCAAAGTAATGTCAGTCACTGACATTTGCGGCAAGTACAAAAAGGACCCCCTAATGGCAGCCATTTTTATTTGTTTCTTAAGATCCAAAGACTGCTGAAAGAACAATTGGATAAAGTTGAGGATTGGAGAAGCTTGATTTTCTTGTTCCTGTGAAATGAAACTCTAGTCCTTTCTCTTCTCCTTCCCCTTAAAAGCAGAAGTCTGCTAGGGGGTTGTAGCTGTGTCAAAGCCGTTGGGATGCCACTGCTGATCACTTTAATTACTAGGACTAAGGAGGATAAAATTAAAAGTAGCACCATTGAAGCAGTGGAAGAAAGCTTGCCGAGATGTCGGTGAACTGTGAAATATAAAAATTGCATACCAATACATTTTTATAGGAAGGAAACAAGGAATCACATTACTTATTCTTGAAGAGTTTGTCCTTAAATGGTGAAGTTTTACTTGCTGTGCATCCATGTGGCAGATTTTTAGACCATTAGAAAGTAATTGCGGTGGAGGAACAGAGTAAAACTTTTATGTCTCCCCAGCATGGCGGATACATGACAGAGAGATGAAAGATTTACCTAGTTTTCTCTTTAGAATTGGACAGTTTTCTAGCATATGTTGTTGTAATAAGAGTTTTCATGTCCCTTTCTTTCCCTGTTGCAAATTCCATATTTGTGCTTTATGAGCTTTACCAGGTCTTTTTCTTGTTTTTTTGGAAGGGACAATAAAAATATATTGTTTCACAATGCACATTTTAAGTTAATTGTTTTCTAACTTGAAACTTTTATATATACTTGAATCATACCTTCGATGTAATTTAAACTTAGTGGTTCTTCACAATCATTTCCTCCCTCAAAGCTCAATAATCAACAGTTCAAATAATATATGTATTAAATTTAAGCTATAAATATGCTGTTTTGCTCTTCTCTGCTAATGATGATTGAATTTTAATTAGCACAAACACAAGCCACAACCATCTATATTTGCTCTAAGAGGATGCTAGTGACTATGATAATGATTCGGGGATATGAGGTCTCCTCTTTTGAAATCAGCCTACCATATCCTAGGACATCTTTTTCCTAACGTGTACCTGGCTTGATATTAAATAAGCCATGTACTGCAGTAGGTTTAGTTGGATCATATGAACATTCAATGTTAAGCTGCCTAGTACTTTAAAATAAGTTTGGCAGATTCCATTTGTAAATTAAATTAATTTAAATTAAAACCACAAATTCACCTGTGTTAGGAGTGACAATATGGAAATATTTGAGCACTTTCACTTCATGTAAATTCAAATGTAATTAATGTTGCCAGATACAGTAGGTTGAAATAAAATTGGTTGCTGTGTTAGTTGGCTGGCTGTACATTAAATTAAACTGATTTATTGTAGTGCATAGTACACATAGAAGGTTTCTAGTTTTCTTTCCTGTGTGTACTTTAACAAATAAATTTTTGATGGAACTGTTACTCTGTGCCTTCTGGGAAGTTAAGGTGTGAGAAAGCAAACAAAGCAAATATGCCATCCTGCTGAAGAGCTTGCAGGGCCCAAGCAAAATTGCCTTTATAGTGTTAGGACATTAGCAGAAAAGTAAATCAAGGCAATCTGATAGGGAACCAGGATTCTGTCAATCAGGCTCAAGATATTGTGCTGTGTCCATATACTTTGTTTACTGTAGGGTTTTATGAGTTGTAACCTGCCCATGCAAGCTGTTAATGAGGCTAAATCTTGCTGCTTGAGGATTGAATTACAGCACACCTCTAGGCTAATGGTTATAAACAGAAAGTCCCATTAGGACTGCATTCTGATTCATTCATTTGCATTTTTTCTATTGTACCAAGAACAAAGATGAGTAAATAGCTACAAACAAACAATCTACATGGAAATGGCTAAAATGTACCTAATTAGTATTTTGTGCTTGTCTTATTAATGATTACTTAAACTAAATAGCACTTGGTAGCAGGCTCTTACAAAGATTTGCAGGTGTGGAATATTCAATTTCTTGTTTCGTGGGAATGGTGTTTGCCATTTATTGTAAGAAATTAAGTTGCCAATACTGCTTTCCAAAATTAGACTAATTGGTTGTATTCTACCAAAATTAAGGCTATCCGCAAAAATCCTGATTTCAACAACTATGTTACGTCTATAAATTAAGTTTGAGGTAAATTTGACTTAAAGCCACATGCTTGGTTTTGTTGTATTTATTAGTGTTTATAGTGCACTAGTGTCTTTTAAACTTTTTCTTAAGTTTGAAAAATGCAAGTTTTGACAAACGAAGCTTAAACTTCATTTTCCTCACCTTTCTGTGTTTTTTCAATAGTTTGGATTAAACATGTATTTTGTAATTTGTTGTGTGTTACTCCATTTCTGAAATATATGCATGAAAAGTTTACTATTTGTTGTAATTCGTTATGTGATTGACATTTTATAGTCCTATAATGATACATTTAAATTTTTTAACGGAAGATTGTTAACTTGAATGATTCCCTTACAAAAACACTGGATATTTGTTATTGGGTGATATTTACAATTACTGTACTGAACCCAACAAAGGGGCATTTTAAAACTAGAGACATTTTTGTGTGCCCTAGAGTCTCCATCAACAGGTTAAATTTAGGTTACATTTTATTTAAAAAAAAAAAGATGCATTAGTTGAACAGTGTGGATCAAATTCTTCTCTTACTTCAGATTTACATCAGTATAACATTCTTGAAGTTAGTGGAGTTGCTTCTGTAACTGAGAGCAGTATCTGATCCCTGATTCTAGTATTATGGTAGACTATTTCTCTCGCTAGTAATTCAGTGTATTGAAATCCTTTTTGCAGCTATAATAAAATTTTTGTAGCTATTGCTAAGAAACAAAAGTTTCTGACAGTTGTTTGCATCAGGATATTTTACAAGGTATAATTTTATTTTAAAATGGTTTAAATTACAAATGATGACATTTTTAATATATGATAATGTTGGATATGCAGAAAATCTGATTCCCGTATGTCTTTAAAAATTGTGGTGTGACACCCAACTGATATAGAGCATCCTATTTATAATGTGGGCCAAGCACCATGCTGTAAACCAGTTACTATCATGATGATCAGATTGAGAATGAAATTGCATTTCTGTCAATTACTGAGTTGGCAACTGTTCAATATATCTTAGCAGCAAGATGAAGAGCGACGTCGGCAGCTGAGAGAGAGAGCTCGTCAACTAATAGCAGAAGCTCGATCTGGAGTGAAGATGTCAGAACTTCCTGCCTACACTGAAATGGCTGCAGAAAAGTTGAAAGAAAGGTCAAAGGCGTCTGGAGGTGAGTTAGGGAGCCTCGTATCTTATTTCTCTGGCAACCTAGAAACCAGAAAGGACCTTTTGGGGGGTATCACTTTTATTCACACTTGAAAATGTTGTTGTAAGAAATTGTTGTCCATCCATCAGGTACACATATCAAATGACTGGCAATGGATAGGTTTTCCAAATCAGGGTTATATAACTTAATTTCAAACCGTTAAAAGAATGGTGCATCTGTTACAACAAGAATATAACTATATAGGTAAAAACTGTTGGCTAAAGTTGGCCTGTTGAACTACAAATTTTACATTACTCCTGCATTTTTAGAATTGCAAGAAATATTAGTCATCTAGAAATGGTGTGGCTAAAATCTCCAGAGTTCATTGAAAATGTAGGATGCATCCGAAGAAGTGAGGTTTTTACCCACGAAAGCTTATGCCTAAATAAATCTGTTAGTCTTTAAGGTGCCACCAGACTCCTTGTTGTTTTTGTAGGAGTTAGATGTGACCTCTAGGGGAAAGTACGTTATAAAGATTTAAGAAACTTGACTTAAAAACAAAAAATGAGTTAGTACAACTGTTTCTGAAGGGAACTTTGAAGAAGTTCTCTGGCATTACATTGTTATTACCTGGGAGGTTGGCACAATAATCTTTGATTTTAAATGGCAGTCTTTTCGCGTACCACTTACCTTGACAGTTTTTGAGTTGTATATTACTGTAATATTACTAAAGTGACTTTGAAATGTCAGTAAAATTCATATATCTGCCAGTGCTCCAAGCTGGAGTAATGTAGTGACATTCAAATTCAAATGGGTACGGAACACATATTTCAGTCCAGGCTCCTTGCTCTTTTAGTGTCTGCTAAATATGCTAAGGAGTAATTATTTGTCTCATACTAACCCATAATTGTAAGCACAAATGTCTGGTAAATCCAACTTTATATTTATTTTGCTAAACCTAGATTCACTGATTATATGTTTTCTTTCTGTGTTCAGTACAGCTTTAAATGTTCTTTTTAGTTAATGTTACAACTGACTTGTACCATAGCTCTTCCACTCCCTCCTCCATTTAACACTGAAGCTAAGAATGGCTGGATAGCAGTTGTACGTTTCCATTTAAGTCTGATCTTTGGTTTACCTCCATTCACCCAGTAAATGAAGCATGGCAGGATGTCTCCAGTGTGGGGCTGTTCTTCAGTACTGAATTCATCCTAAGTAGGGAAAACATGGCCTTGATGTGGAATAAGCTGTTCAGACTTTATGAAAACTCCTCTAAGCTATTGAAAATATTGCTTCAAAGCATGCTCAAGCTGTGAGGTACAATAGCAAACGCCATTAAAAATGGTTACTGCTCATTTTTCCATTGCAGCCTTTCCTAGTTTGTTCCATATACTTGCTTTAAACACTCTGGGCCAAATTTAGACTTGGCTGATGCAGGTATACTTCCATGGAAGTGCGTAAGCCAAATTCATTGGTGAGGTATATAGTAGTATAGGTTACACATAGCATTTAAGTTAGTTAGAAAACATGTAAAATGGCAAAGTAGTGTAAATTGCAACCAATTTGGCATTCTTTATCTGACTTAAATATTTATCATTTTTTATCCTGCTTTACTTTATCATTTCTTACACTGACGTTATCCTATTACCCACCTGTTAGTTGCTTTTCCTGCTGCACTTCCTCCTTCTACCTCTGAGTGTAAAATACACTTGTTTTACGCACACTTTGAATGCCAATTTGGTTACAAATTATAGTGCTTTGCCACTTGCACCCACTTTCTGACCAACTTATACCACCATATATTTCACCATAGACTATGGCGCTCCATGTTTAAAATTTCCACTGAGTTTTTCTGTTAACCAAGCCTTTCCCTCACTAAATTTGTAAGCTCCCTCAAAGATAGTCTTTCGTTTGACCCTAGCACAAATAGTCTTGTAGTGTCTGTCTTCCTTTATTCTCTTCAGAATTGTCTCTACCCTAGTGAGGACCAATCTTCATCTCCACTTTCCTAAACAATGAAAACCAACGGTGAAGTTAATAGCAAAACTCTCACCGATTTTCAGTGGGGCCAGGATTTCATCCATAGTTTCTCTAATTCCTCTGAATAACTAAGATCCTCAGACTCCTTAATTAGTCTTCCACTTTGTTACTATTTCAAGAACACTTGATACCTCTATTTATTCCAAGTTATATCTGCTATTTAATGTCATTGTTTAGCAGTATGTGAATAAGATTTTAGATCAAGATTCTGCCACTCTTATGCATGTTGGGTACTAACTCTTTACATGTGTGATTGCACCAAGTTCCAAGATGACTAATTGCAGAGTAAGATAGAACACAACAGGAGTAGGGTGTCAAAATCTGACTACTTGAGTTTTTATCACCATCACATCTATTAATTATCAATTGTATTTTTTCTTGTATGACCATCTAGCATATGTTCTATTTTTATATATATTATGCCCAGCATCACTGGTTTACATTCTCTACATTGATTTTTGTCTGCCCATATACTAATCTGGCCAAGTTATTTGGACTTTTGTTGCACTTCTGTTTTGTGTTATCTGTCCACTCTGATTCCCCCTTACTCTTATTTATGCAAAAATTTATCACTTTCCTACATGTTCATTCTTCCACATTTTTCACATAAAGTGAACAATAACCATCTTATTACTTATTTTTGTGGTACATACTCAACCTTCTCCACATTCTTCCATCTCATCATTCACAGTATGTCTTTGTTTTCCAAATCATTATTTACTCAAGTAGCTCCTTCTCCTCCTAACAAGAGGCCTTACTTGTTAACTTTACTAAGGAACAATTTAGTGAAACTGTGCTAGCATTTTTTTTAAATCCAAGTAAGTTACAATAGCCCAGATCCTCAAAAGTATTTAGGCACCTAACTCCCATTGATTTTGATGGTGGTACAACACTCAAATATCTTTGAGGATTTGGGCCTATATGTCTACCACATATTCCTTCAGTTCTTTATTTGCTAAAAATAATCAGATTTATTAGACAAAAACTTTTTTGTGAATACCATCTGAGTACTATCCTTACTTAAGTTATACGTTTGCAAGTGTTCTGTTTCTGTTTTGTAGCAGTATATTCCCCTATATGATGTTTAAGTCAAGCTTACAATAATTTTCTAGATCTTCTATAAGTCTTTTCTTACTACATGTTTAATTAGCCTTTCTCTAAAATATATTGATTCATACATCCCGATTTCAAAAAAGAGGTATTAAATAAATCTACTAGACTCTTCTCTCTTTTTTCACTTCAAAAAGATGGTACGTGTCCATTTCTAATGTGTTAAACGTTTTTAATGAGTTTCTTGCTCACTTTTGTTGGTGAAATTCTAATCTCCTTCAATATTTCTATTTACTAATTGAGAAATTTGTGTTTTGGCATTAACAGTACAGCCTTATTTGAAAGCCTTGATTTAATCATGAAAATCCTAGAAAATGCATTTGCCTATTGCAAATAGAAAACTTTCCTGGATAAGCAGCATCAACCTCTGCAGAATACAAACTTTCTGGCAACTATTTAGTAGGGGGAGATATGGGAAGAGGAGAAAGGGGCAGAGAAAGAGATATGGGAGGAGGAGAAAGGGGCAGAGAGAGAGAGAGAATATTCCTTCTCCCTTCTGACAGATAGAAGCATTTGCTGTGGAGGCTTCAAATATAGTAGATTCCTACTAGCTGGAAGCTGATAAGTTGAGCCCTTGAGTTGGGTCCAGGAACATCACCTTGATAGGAATCCAAACACCATTCCCTTTCCCAGCAGCTCAGGAGCAGTAGAGTTAGCATTTTATCTGGGCACAATCTTTGAACAGTGAGGCCCCACCTTTCACATCTGTGAATTGCAAGTATGTTAAGTTCATTGACTATTAGGTTTCTGCCATATATCCAACCCCTACTTAGGATGGTATGTTTGTGAGGGGGAGGTTGATTAGGCAGATGTGGGGGAGTGGGCAGGAAAGAGAGGGAACAATTAATGAGATACATTAGAAAAGATCAGTATGGTATTGAGTGAGAGATTTTGGTAAGCAAAAGTGGGGAATAAATACAGACCAAAAATATGGGGGAGGAGATAGAGAACACAATGTAAGAAATGAAAGTGGGGGGTGGGGGGAGAGAAAGAGAAGAGAAAACAAGCATTGAAATCAGCACAGGAAAAGATACACCATGATCTGTTATAGCAAAACAAAAACAAAACAAAACAAAAAGATTAGGGTTAAAAAAAAGAAGGGATAGAAGCACTAACAAAAGCAAGAGAGATGTAGTAAGTTACTATTTTAAAAATATATTAGAGAGTTAGTTGACAATATTGTTAAAATTATATAGTATACAGTAAACACTGAACAACTGTTCTGCTCCTTTAAGATGTCTACACCGGGGGGGGGAAAAAAAAAACACCCCACACCAGCGAGTCTGAGTCCTGATCCACAGACGTGGGCTTACAAGGCTCATGCAATGGCACTAAAAACAGCCACGTAGACATTCCTGCTCAGGCTGGAAGTTGGGCTCTGACATCACCCCGCTTCCTCTCCCCGGGCTTCAGAGCTCAAGCTCCAGCCCGAGCCAGAATGTCTACTTGGCTCTTTTCAGCATCCTAGGACAGCGCCCTATGAGTTCGTATCTGCAGACCTGGGCTCTGAGATTCACTGCCCCTGGGTTTTTTTTGCTATAGACATTCCCTTAAATACTGGGTGAATGGCTTTGGGGAGTGTCCTAGGGAGGGCATGGCAGCACAGATATCCTCACCCAGACTAGTAAGCTTAGTCCTTGAGCTAGTAGGTATCAAGTAAACATTTCAAGTCCTGGATTTAATTTTTTTAGCAATATCAGCCTTCCTTTGCAATTATCACCAAAGGCCCTACTGTCTTGTCTTAACCTCGGGTGGCTTATATACTTGAAATATTTGATTTTTACCTTCTGTCTTCCTTTTCTTCTCCACTTTGCTTTCTTTGTCAGTGTTCATACTCTCCGAACTACATTCCGTAATCTTAACGCCAATTCTGT